TGTAGGGCTGTCTCAGTCACTTTCTACTCATTGTTGGGACAAAATACCTAGCACTCAAAATTAAGAAAGGAAAGGTTTATTTAGCTCACAGTTGGTGGAGGTTTCAGTCTATATTCGGCTGGCTCCCAGGCAGAGGGGCACACGGCAGAGAACAACAGTTCATGGTGGCAGAAAACAACGAAGAGTAGAGGAGCAGCAGCCACTGTGGCATATGTAAAGCCCCTCTCTCTTCCTTCTACACTGACTGCGAAGCCCGGAGCTCCTCCAAGGAAGTGGTACCGTGAAGCTCGGAACTCTTCCAAGGCAGCAAGTGAGGGCACAGAAGCCTTTGTCAACGCCTTTATATACCCTTTTGGTGCTGAGTCACTCTAGGGCAGGCCTTCCCCGCCCCCACCCTAGGGCAGGCCCCCCCCATCTCCCAAGTGTGGAATCCCAAGCAGATCCTGCTAAGCTTCCCACATCTCATGTTCACACAATGTATCAACCACCAGAAGGGCCTAAATTGCCCAGGCCGGGCTTGAATGTGCAGTCCTTCTGCCTCAGCCTGGCAGTGAGCTGGAGAACAGGTGTGCGCCATCACATGTGGCTCCCTTTTTTTTTTCTTTAAGATAGTTTTGGGTGTCCAGGAACACTTCGAATTCTTTTTGAATTTGAGGGTTGGCTTTGCTGCTCTGCGAAAAGAGCTGTTGGAATTTTGGTAGGGACTGCATGGGTCCATGGAACCCCTTCAGGTTGTACTGACCTCTTAAAAATATTAAGTTTTTAGGGGCCAGCCAAATAGCCCAGCGTATTAAAGCGCCTGCAAGCAGGTGCAGGGGCCAGAGGTGTAATCCTTGAGGCTGCCGTGCTGGCCCTGCCCCCAGGGCGTGCTGAGATGGTGAATGAGACTGGACACGGTGGCCTGCACCTCTAATGCCAGCTCTTGGGAGGCTGTAAACAGGTGGATCACTACGAGTCTGATCTAGCAGTGAGATCCTGAACACCTTATAGACCCTTCCGTAAAATACAAAACAAAACAAACCAAAAAACAATAAAAACCCATACACATATATGAAGTTTTCCTATCCATGAATATAGAATTCTTTCCATTTATTTAGATCTTTCTTAATTTCCATCAATCTTCTGAGATTTTTAAAAAATCATGAAAGAGGTTTAGTTTTTTTTTTTTTAAATGTATTTAGTACAGGGTCTTACTACACAGATTGGATTTATAGTGATCCTTCCTGTTTTTCAGTCTCCCAAATGCTGGGATTACAGGCATGTGCCACCACACCAGTCTCAACTGTTGTCTCAGAGCACCCCAGGGGGCAGGATTGGCATGGCAGGCCAGGGATTGGACCCCCAGCCCCTGCATCTGCCTAAGCAGGTGCTTTAATCCGCTGAGCTATCTGGTGTCAGTTGAGATGATCATGTTGGTTTCCCCTTTGGTTCTGCTAATATTATTGTACTGACTGATTTTTACGTTGGGCTACTCTTGTGTTCCCAGGTTCCACTTACTCATCATCAGCAATCATTTTATTATTATACTGAATTCTTTTTTCTAATATTTTATTAGTGGTAATTGCATCTCTATTGATAGGGAATATTGGTCTGTAACTTTCTTTACTTAAAAAAGCTACAAAATATTTCATAATTTTATTTTACTTTACATACATTCTAAAAGGCCACAGCAGTTGTCAGTATATAAACCCTTTATAAGCAGGTGACACTAGGAAAGACAGACAAGGGGCCAGAGAGATGGCTCAGTAGAATAAGCGCTTCTCTGGCAAGCACAAGGGTCTGAGTTCAATCCCCGGTTCCGAAAAAAAAAAAAAAAGGACAAATACCAAAATGAAGCCCTGAAGTGAGGGCACACATGCAGCACAGTATTTCTGGGATTAACAAGCACATACCAACTTGTCCACAGCTCACTTGCAATAGTCGATAGTCTTAGAAGCCTCTTTGAGATTTGTTCACAGTCCTGTTGTGCCAAGTTGCCACTTATTTAAAAACAAAAGGTAACTGTCCTACCAATTTGGTTTGAAACTGTCTCATTGCTATTTGTTTCTCAATAAAATTATGGAAAAAATAAATACATAAATAAAAACAAAAGGTAGCTGGGCATGGTGGCACACGCCTGTAATCCCAGCACTCGGGAGGCTGAGGCAGGAGGATTGTTGCGAGTTTAAGACCAGTCTGGGCTACAAAGTGAGCTCAAGGCCAGCCTGAATTGCAAAGTGAGACCCTATCCCTACCCCCCAAGAATAAAATTAGGAAATGAAACCAGAATAAAACTATGAACTTAGAGAGGACTTTATAATTCTAGTCATCTGTCACTCTCTATGAAGGAAAGCTTCAGTTCTTCCTCCCCTTCTCTGTCTGGATAGGAAAGAGAAATAGAAGAAAAAGCTCACTTTTCCAAATTCTCCTGCAGTTTACTACCTTCCTTCTCCGTGAGGGTTCTTTTCTTGTTAAGTTTTGTATGAGTTTGATATTAAGTGTAGTGCTGGCTTCATAAGATGTGGTTTAGGGGTTGGTGAGATGGCTCAGTGGTCTAAAGCACCTACTTAGAACAAGTTTAGCAAAGCACAGGGACAGCAGTTCAATCCCCCAGCACCACA